TCGGGAAATACTTCCGGATAATCACACACCACAGGAATACTCTGCATCACCTTCTTTTCCTTCTTAGCATCAATCACGAATGCTAAATATGATGTACATCCCTTGGTCAAACACTTTCTGGCTTTCATTAGGGAAATGATTCCAGCGTTCAGCGTTTGTCCCCATACACCATAAATGAATCTTTTCCAGGCGGGTTTACTTTAACTATCTTCTTCTTGCATAAAATTTCGGCATCATTGGCGCTGAGCCAATCCATTCCCAACACGATGTCGAAACCATTAAGTTCGATAGGCAATAATTCCTCGTGGAACTTATTCCCATTCAAGTCGATTAGGATGTTTCTCATACGATGGCTAACAGGTACAAACTTGCCACTAGCAACTTCGACTAATAAAGCATTATCTAGTCTATCAACAGGCAAAGCTAGTTTTCTACCAAATTCATGCGATATAAAGGAGTAGTTGGCTCCAGAATCAAATAAAATTTGGGCAGGCAAATTGTTAACGAGAAAGGTACCTGAAGCGACATCAGCTTCATCCTTAGCAGCTTCCAGTGTCATCTGGAATGCTCTCGCCTTCGGCTTTGGTGGAATGTTGGGCTTAGCTGCCTCCTTCTTCTTCGGACAGTCTTTCAAAATATGCCCCTCTTCATTACAACCAAAACACATCCTTTTGTTGTTCGGACATTCATTGGCAAAATGTCCAACCTTTCCACACTTGTAGCAGGTCACATCCTCGCTACATTTCCCAAAGTGGTTTTTCTTACACTTTTCACACCACTTCGCTTCTCCTCCTTTTCCCCCACCAAACCTTTTCGAATCAGATTTTGAAAATTTACTTTTCTTACCGGAACCAGATGTTCCCTCAAACTTCCTCTTCTCACCAACCTCAACCTTGTTGGTGGTTCTCCCCTTGATCATGTTCTCAAAAGACTTGGCAACCCAGATAGCTGCCTTTAAAGTATGTGCCTGACGTACTGGCACCTCATACTCCCATGGAAGTCCCTTCGCATACCGGTCCACCTTAGACAGCTCGTCTGGAACGATACGCAAGGCAAACTCCATCTTATCGGTGAAGTTATTGGTGTATTCATCAACTGACATACTGCCTTTCGTTAGTGTCAGAAACTTGTTCTCCAATTCCAACAAATTTTGAGCCGAGCAAAAACTTGCGCTTGAACTGCACCAAGAATTCTGCCCATGACAATTGCAGTGGCTCATTTGGGCTCAAAGTTTTCCCTAGAGTGTTCCACCAACGAACGGCTCCACCTCGGAATTGACGCACGGCATAGATAATTTGCAACTTACCTCTGCAGCCATACGTCATGAAGGCTAACTCCATTTCGGAGATCCAATCCATAACCCCAATAGGATCCTCCTTTCCATTGAAGGTCGATGGTTTGCAAGTTAGAAAGTCCTTGTACTTGCATCCCATTCCATCATTCCTTCCATCACGGTTGTCTTGTCTAACTATCGGTGGGTTGGCTTGACCAACAGACCCACTAAAGTTTCCACCTTCCGGGTGCCCTTCATTTAGTTCAGGCTCTTCCACACGAATCGACAGTTCTTCACGATTTTGTTGAAGCAACCGTCTAGTTTCATCCATCTGACGATCCAACATCGTCTGAATCATCAATTGCACACCAGCCATGGTTATTGGCTCAGGTGCTGCTGCTACAACAGGTCTTTGTTCAATCACTGGTGGTTGATTCCTGTTTTCATCAGCATTTCCAACTCCACTTCTTGTTCTCACCATTTTGATCTACACACCGAATAAGGTGAAATTAGATCCTTATTCACGATAGATATTCAAATCATCCTTATCACTCCGAAACGTTTACATGCTAGTTCTAATATCGTAGACGTACGCTTAGAATCCTACACACATAAAGTTTCTAGATCCGGTCGGCAACAGACCATAGATCCGAACAAATAATATCATATATGGCAACATATAACATTTAGCACATAAAGCATTTTAGGCAACTTTCCTAAAATAAACTAGTGCTTGTGTCTAAAACATAACAGACACACATCTCAAAATTCCACTTAGCATTCTAAGTTTAAGTCTAGAAATCCTAAAAATTCCTAGTTCGCTTAAACTAATGCTCTGATACCAACTGTGACATCCCCAAAATCTCGGCCAGAAAAGACCGATTTTCATTTATGCTTTTAAAATAATTCAGAGTAAATCCTTTTGATTTGAAAGAGTTGCGGAATTTGTTCCCAAAAACAAAACATGATAAAACAATGTTTACCAAAGCATTTCATAAAAGAAATGTATTTTCATTATATAATCAAAACTCGGGGTGTCATGTTCCGATATAGACCAATAAGCATAAACGATAACATTACAAGTCATTCAACAAATATATACATATACAGACTTGTAAACAAAACAACTTGATGGTTCATCCATCTTACGCCCTTGCGCCACTTCCTGTAATACAAATAAAACTGAGTGGGTCAGGCTTGGGAGCCTGGTGAGCATATAGGGTTTTCAACCCACAATAAATAATTAAATTAATTATTATCAACCAACAATAACCCAGTTACCCATTCCCGTTATTCTCACTTTACGTCCCTAAAATAACTAACACAAGGGACCTAATCTAAGAATATTTTCATCGGGGTGACAACACATGCTGCGGGGTTTCCTCAGCAATATAAGTCAAATAAGGCAACCATGAGGGGGATGGAATACACGAATGAACACCCAAGTTCATTAACACCTACAGGTTATGAGCCTGCTAGCGTTCCACTGGACTATCTAGAAAAGTCCGTGGTCGTCATCTAAATTCCGCTAGATGACTGGATCAAAACAACAACGAGGCCTCTCATCTGTTTATTACACACCAACTATCTACCCATGTTCTACCCAACATATTAGTAGATAAAAACATACATTTTTATACATATTTTCAAAACCTGTATAGCATGCTTGATCAATACATTTTCCATATAACAGATGAGGCACACACACATAACACGTATTTCATATAGAAATAATCAGATCTGTAAGATAGAAGAAAGTGAATATACATTCACACACATAACAACAAAATATACACATAACACGTATCTCGTATAAAATACTTCATAGTTATACGTTAGGAGAAAGTAACAACGCATTCACACGTATAAACGACAATAAACTTAATACACTCAAACCATACTTGTATTATTATTGCGTTTATGAAAGGTAGTATACACTCACTTGATCAGAAGATGATCGGACAGCACTACGGCTTGCAGAAGTCGTAATCCTCAGCAGATCTGGAAGATCTCTACGAAAATCGAACTTCTCGCGGGCAGAGCTTCGGCTCGGAAACCGCACTTCTCGGGATCTTCGGGATCTCGGGACTCGCTTCGGGACTCGGGAATATTACCGGGGCTTCGGGATGGCTTCGGGGGTAAAAACGCAGAGCTTCGGCACAAAAACGAGAGGAAATTAGCAATGGAACCCGGAACCCTCGCATCCTATTTATAGGAGGCTGGAAGCTCCTCGTACGCGGGGCGTACTGGTCCGAGAAACGTCATCGCTTACGTCATCCGAAGCCACTTGCTGCGATGTCGACACTTTCGGAGTATGCGGGGCGTACTCACTTACGCGGCGCGTAAGTCGGATAAGATCTGTGACTCGCCTTCGGATAATGCTTCCGAATTTTGATTTAAAAATAAATACAAATTAATTAATAAACTTCGGAAATTCATATCTTCTTCATACGAACTCCGTTTTCGACGTTCTTTATATCCACCGAAAGGTGAGACTACGATCTACAACTTTCGTTTAGAATCCGTTGGCTAATTTTGAATTTATTTTTATTATTTATTTTTAATAGGCCGGGACAGAAAATTTCGTTATAAATTCATAACTTCTTCGTTTGACGTCTGTTCTCGCCTAACTTTTTATCGCTTTGATACTAACAACGAGATCTTCGATTCTCGTTTAGATCACTAAGGCTAAATATCGCTTTAACGTAAATCTCACTTTTTACGTTATCCAGCGTTGCCGGTTCTGTCGCGAAACTTTGACAAGTCATAACTTCCTCGTTATAACTCGGATTTCGGCATTCTTTATATCTTCGGAAACCTTGTTTCAACTACTACAACATTATCTAAAGATATCAAGTTTATTTTACACTTAAATTTTGACGCTTATTTTTATTCTTAATTAATCAAACCACATAATTAAGCAATTAAGCACAAAACACATAATACTCAAATAATACAATCTTATTATTTCAAAACGGGTTACAAAGGTTAACCTAGACCATTACATTGCTAAAAATGGCAAGCCTGGAAACACAGACGTTACATAGTAGATTATGTTTCTTTATGTGTTAACATGTTAGATGATTGTATGTGTTTAGCGGGCGGGGCCCGGAGACAGGCGGGGCCTAAGAGACACAAATCTGTATACCGAGCGGGGCTCGATATCAGGCGGGGCCTGATGTCGGGTGAGATCCGATGCTAGAGTATTAAATTAATGGTTTGACAATTATGGTTTTAGTATTAAATGAAAAACGAAATTTTTTGTCATGATTTTTGGGATGTTACACAGTTAAAACAAGTTAGTTTCTTTCTTATATACAAAAAATAAGAAGTTGTCAATATATGAAAACGGATAAGATGTAGTTACCCTCTGTAGTGATTTTCCCTTTGAGTTACTGGTTAAAACATGTATTAGCCGGTAATATTTATATAATTTAAACAGTTAAAACAAGTTAGTTGCTTTATTATGTACAAAAAAGAATAAGTTGTCAATATGTGAACACGGATAAGAGGTAGTTGCTCTCCTAAGTCATTATCCCCAATATTTATTAAACAAATTTTCTCAACAAGTTAATTAATAATAAATAAAACATTCAAATAATCAATAAGTATATATTGATTATTTTAAGTTGATCCGGATACAAAATCAAATTATAAACAAATCACAAAGGTGTAAAACATTAAAACTTTGATAATCATTTTTTTATTTTAAAAAAAAAAAAAAATTCCGCAAGAACCACATTATTAGAGAGAGTCCAATTGGCAGGTGGCTAGTGGCAGCAGCACACCGAAGCTCCATGGCCATGTTCCCATCAAGACGATCCAAAATTATACCTATCATCATCATCATCCAAATTATATACAAAAACCATTTAATATCCAATTTCGATATACTTGATGTGGAATTTCAACTTTATATACAGTATTATCGGATGTGAACTGGCTCTCTCTCTCTCTCTCTCTCTCCGGCTCCTCATCCAATCCGATTGAATCCCAAATCCCAAGGAAGCAATTAAGTTTGACCAATTGATTTATGGATATTACTAGTCTATTCCCCTCATTTAATCAATCACGCTTCCGTCTTCGACCAATCTCAATGTCGCTATCAGGTCTTTCCTCTCTCCCTGTTTTTTAAATTCTAATCATCGACTATCTTATCTGTGTTTCTTCATTTTTTGACTACTTAATTGTTTAACTCCTAAACTTATCCCAAATTTAACGCAAGTATGTTCCGGGTAAATTTAAATTTTGCCGTATGTATAGATATCAAACCGTATCAAGATGCTGTAAGTTGACTTGAAATCTGAAGATGCTTGCATAACTAGCTTAAAAAGACATAATCGGATATCGGCATCTCCTGTTTCCGCTTAATTTAGGGAAAAAAAAGGACGTTGATCTGTTTATTAATCTGTAATCTTATCTTTCTTGTTTGCAGGTCGGTTTCTATAAGAATTTTTTAAGAACGCCGGTGCCTGAAGATGTCAGCATATGGTCATCCGATGGAACGGGAGTATTCCTCCCGGAGTCTCACAAGTGCAGAAGGATCCGGTATTCTTACCCCTTTCTGCTTTCTGAATTTCTAACCTGAAATTTTTTTCCATATAAGTTTAGATCGCATCATTAAATCGTGTTCTTCATGTGTTGGTGCAGAGATGGGAAGTCAATTCAGAATGGAATCGGTGATCTATATGTCATCATGTGCTGCGACTATCTTCATTGGGGGGCTTGTAATAGTTGGGATCTTATTGATGACCTTGCTGACTGCAATGACTGTGATGTTACAATCATGTCAAAGCAGGGAAGCTGGAGTTATTGAATCGTTCAAGTATGATCATTGCAAAATGGAATCTCAACACGCAGAGATTAATAACATGGAAGCGTATTCTTTGCCTGGATTTTGTAAGGAAGTTGCTGTGAAGTACATAAAAGATGGTCATTACATGAGAGAGTTGAACGCTTCGGTGTCACTCATTGAGAATTACTTCAATGGCATAAGACCAAATGATGGTGGTCATGATGTTGTGTTAATGGACATAGACGACTTCCTTCCAGCCGAAACTCTTCGTATCAACCCATTGTCGTACGGGTAAACATGCTTTCTAAACAGTACAGAGAAATAATACTGTGTTTGACATGTATTGGACTGAAACTTAAAATGATATTAACGAGACAAAAAAAAATTGCACCAAAAAAGGAATGCCCTCCTCATCTATCCCTAAAAAGCTTTCATGTCGGGTCCCATCTTGTCCAGTCTACTCCAACAAATACAATCTAATACTTAGTTGAATCTTTCTTTTTTTGATCTTTTATTGTGCAGATACAATCGGTATGGATTGAATGATTGTGTTAGAGAGGCAAAACATATGAAACATGTTTTCTTGATTGAATTGTACATAAAACTTAAATCTAATGGATGGCCATTGATTTTGTTATCAAGAAAGCCAGAAAAGCTACAAGACACCATTGTTGAGGATCTTATATCAGCCGGATGTGGTGGTTGGTCAAAGTTAATCATGAGGTAACGGGTTATTAGAGATTGAAATAATCTTGTTTTATGAACCAAATTTCAAGAACAATCATAATATATACAAAAAAAAAACAAAAGTCTGTGGTAACAAATGATGGTGATTTAGATATTAATGTTGTGATTTGGTGTAGATCAAACGAGGGGATGAAAGAGGATACTCGTGATTACTTTTTAAGACAAAAAGTGGGCATTGAAGCGGAGGGTTATGATATTAGGGCTGTGATTAGCAGCCACATGGATGCTTTAGGAGGCACGATTATCACAACACAAAACTTCAAGCTTCCGAACCCCCTTCCGGTTGCTCCACCACGCAGTATAATGTCCGATTAAAAGACAATCCACCGGTATAAGTTTCTATATATATTACTTGTATATAAGTTCTTTTTTTTATTATTATAATTTTTCGACCACAAATCCAGAAGTGTTTATTTATTATTTATCTCCTCCATTTTGTGTAATATTCGACAAAATGCAGACCACACATGCTATGTACATTTGTTTGATTTAAATATATAAGATGAATTGTTAATTTTTTTTCTATTGTATAGGCAGATTATTATAAATTTGTTTGGGGCAAACTGCTTTGACTGGTGAGATATGTCTAAGGATTACCATGGGTCGACCCGTTTTCTTTCCAAAAGGAGTAAAAATGTTTTTGATGGTGAAAGTATGACGGTTTTTCAAACCAAATTTGCACTAAACCCGTAATTTTTAACTGAATTTAATTTATTTAAAAACTAATTTAGATCTTTACTCTTTTTTTTTTTTTTTTTGAAAAAAAAAATCAACTTATACCGTTAAACTAAAGACTTTTTTGATACCTCCAGTCTCTTTATCAGAGAAAATTAGACGAGCAAAAATTAATAAAGAGATTTACTTGAAATGCATGAATGGTACCTCCTACAATATTACAAGTAACTAACAATGACATTTAAAAGGTTAGAGTCCCACACACATGGCAGGTGAACGGAAAGAGAATGATAAAGTGCAACTTATAAAAAGAAAAAAGGGAGTTGTCCCACATTGTTGGTGATTGAAGTAATGAGATCGATGTCTTTTAGAGTTTGGACCATCTCTCATCTATTATATTTATTAGGTTTAAAGATTTGGAAAATACTAAAACAATATTGATAATTCTAAATTGTAATTATCTTTATTTGTAATTAATATTTTTTAATCATTTCTTCTTGATAAGACAACATATAATTACTATGGATGAAAATTGAAAAAGAATACTTTGACTTTCAAGATGATTAAATGACGCTTTATTTTTGGCTCTGTTAACCGACAAGAGTTCGAAAAATGATTCTCGATTTATGAGTTAGTTTACTTGTCTTAATTTTGTAGCCAATCATAATCTTGATTTAATCATCGATTTCCAATAACAAAAAAATTAGTATCTACAAACCATAAAAACCTAACTCAAATAAAGACAATCCCTTACAAAGACTTTAGTTGTAAGTGATGCGTTTCTGGAAACAAAGTATTTGATTGAATGCATTTTTGAAGGTGATTTAGAGGGGATAAATGAATCTTAGACAAATGGCTTCACAACAACCACGAAAAAAAAAGTCAACAACAGTCAAAATCGATTGAGACCCTATAATCGGTCACCACCACCGCCCCTGCAGTTTCACCAACAAAAGAAACCTAATACATTCCCTCTATCAAGCCTTTGAATTGAAAAGATATATATTAAAAGTTTAGATAAATCAAAGTTAACATCAAACTCATTTTATAAATTCTCTATTGCTTCTTTGACATTTGACAATACCTAGAATGCAAAGTAGCTAAATGTCAAAATTAGTAACTTGGAAACGTAAAACATAAGCTTATTAATATGTGCACTAACACAAATGTATGATGAGCTTCTTTGAATAAAAAATGACGATTTACATCGCATAAGGTGGAGTTTTACTTGTTTAAGATCATCTCGTCCTGCCGTAGAGGAAAGGAAAAGGGGAGGCAATGAGGGAGAATCCTCTCCAATTCTTTTTCTTTTAAGGCATGTTATGTTTAAATGACATATTTTTCCTTTTTGATGTACATATAAAAAAATTTAATTAATTAAAAACTAGACATATAAAAGGGTAAGAGAAGTAATAAGGGTAAATTTGTCTTTTTGTATTGATTAGGGACCAAACTGGAAATAAAACAAAAGTATAGGGATGATTCAAGTTAAAAAAATGTTTAAGGACTAAACATACAAACCATAAAGATCATGAGAAAATTGAAAATTTAGCCAAATATTTTAATTACTTTATAGAAAATAACAAAAAAAACCCAAATTATATTTTTAACCATCAAAATCGCAGATGAACTAAACCTATCTGCTATTTTGGCAAACCCATCTGCGAACATATCTACCCCATTTGCAAACATAGCCTAGCCAAGTATAAAAACATAATTTTTTGTGGTATATTTTTCACTCCTTTTTGTTGGAAAATTCTCTCTGGAAAGCGATTTTCTTAGTCCATCTGTAATTATGGACAATTTCATGAACAATCCCGATAATATGGTAAGATCTTTACTCATTTTGTATTTTAATCATCATTTATAAACATTGGGCCTTGTGTATTTACAATTTATTCCAAAAAATTTGAAAAAAAAAACGAAACTTTATTGTGTTTTATTATTCGATTTTTTTAAATCTATGTGTTATATTTGATAGTTAGTAGATTTTATTAGTAGCCTTAAGGTTTTGATGGTATTTGTTAAGTAGATGTATGATTGTACAATTATATAATGCGTAAAGTGTGCATTGAGTGGTTGTACCTTTGCATTTTGATGTTGTACATATAGTTTATCAAAGAAAATATATATATTTAATTGGTATTGTTATAAAAATACTTATAAATAAAAATATCTTTTATATATATATATATATATATATATATATATATATTACTTATACTGATTATAAATAGATATTTGGTTTATTTTGTGATTTAAAATTGCTGATTTTTTTTTTATATATAATAGTTTTTAAGTTGTTGAGTTTTTGTTACAATAATATATGTTCTAATATGTTGTTGTATTGCAGCATGATTATAGAAATCTAAATGTTAAAGTTGTTGTTAACCTAAAAGGATCGAGATGTAACATATGACAAATATTTGAAGTATTGCATGGTATGCAATGGGAAAGTTCTAGAAACATTGTGTTTGGTTACTTGCTAGACTTCCCTCAATTACAAAGGAACGGGTTGCTATTTCATAAAATGTTTATTCATCAGTTATGGTCGGACACAATAATATCCCCAGATGGCATAAAGCGGTTGTCTTTTAAATTGAGGGATACTAAAATGGTTTATGGTCCGGAAAAGTTTTGTTTGATAATCAGGTTTAATTTTGGAGTTTATCCAAAGATGATTGGAAAAAAATGTCTAAAAAATTTTAGTAGTAAAAAAAGATGTTTACTGCGGGAATGTCTCTTTCCGAACCACACAAATAGTTCGGGAAAATTTGTGATTTGAAAAGTTATATTTTAAATCAGTCATTCTTAGCAGCTACCGACAATGATTTAGTTAGAGCATGTATGATATACGTTTTGTGTGAATGCTTTTTTGGAAAAGAAGCAAATGATCGTGTGCCACAAGACTGATTATTTTTGGCTGAGAACTTGGATGGATGGAACATGTATAATTTGTTGACTTCAAAAGTTTTATATTTTTTATGATAATTTTTATTATAATTAAAAGAATTTATTGTAGTTTTGCTTGGGGTAGCTATTTGTGGGACTTCACTTACGATGACCTTGAAGATACATGGAATAAGATCAATAAATATTTATCACTACCTGAGTCTCGTGAACCTTTCAAATACTTTATGTCAGGATTTACGACGCCATTCAGAGTATACAAATACACAATTATTTTCAAGATATAACAAGTATTTTAGTTGTTATAATTGATATTAATATAATTGCTAAAACTATAGATATGGCTCTATGAGATGCTTCCATTTGTTCGAGGTGGTGGTTTTGCGTTACGAAAAAACAAAGAAACAAATCGGATGAAGCGATGGAGTGCAACCAGAAAATTGAAATGGGTTAATGTAAACAAGATTTTTGATATAGAAAATTAAAGGTTTTTATATTTTATTTTGTTTATTAAATTTTTTTGTTTGGACTTTTCCCTACATTATAAATATGTTAATTTATTTTAGGAGGGACAAAGACCAAGACATAGCATGACACCAAGTGATGATGATAAAAGGTCTTCTTATTATATCTTATATCAAGAGTATGTATACGGTGAACCATATTCAGTTCCATCCCCAGTGCGGAACCATTTTAGGAGGTAAGATGAATCTTCATGTAGTGTATCTTCTAGTGGTCGCTCTCATTGTAGAGGTGGACAAGGGAAGCCAATATAAGAAGAGTTGGTGAATCGGTTATTTAAACTTGAACAACATGTGTATATGAACCGAGAACGCACCAAGGTATTTGTGGAAGATGTGGATGACAAGAGTATATGAAACAAAATATATTTTGATGAACCGGCACAATTTCATCTTGGAAGCTACTAAGGAGAAATACAAAGCATTAAGTGGCGGGTTGGAATTACAGTATGAAGACCCTTGGAATATTTTGAAATATGTCAAATTTATTTAATATCTATTTCAATATATTAGGTTTGTACTAGGTTATTTAAATGTATTTCGTTTATATTAGATGTACCTCATCTGTTTAATGTTATTTATAAAAACGCGTTGGGTTATTTTTAACGATTCATTACAATACATTACAAATAACAATTCCATGAAGCATTACACATAAAACAATAAATAAAACCTTACACATAAAATAACTCATTACAAATAACAATTCCAAACGTCCTCATACTCGATTACACATAAAACATTACATAAAACCTTACACATAAAATAACACAATGCAAATAACAATTCCCAACGTCCTCATATTCGAAGTCTCTGCTTTCACGCTCCAAAATGTAAAAATCTTTAAGAATTTCCAAAAGCTCTTCGTTGTCGGCATAATAAGTTTTCATAATTTTCGCATAATTACACTCGATTGAACCATGTGGCTTCTCCCTTTACATCCATCCATTAACCGACAATATCTGATTGTATCCGATGTTGTCTTTCTCACATCTAATGGTTGAACAAAGTTGTTATGCGGTTCCATTCATCACCTACAAAGCAATGTGGGGGAGCCAGTGATGTTACACCCTCCTTAACACTAAGCCAACATCGTGTTACAACTAACACCTTGTTTTTCGTCTATGGTCTTGGAGGATTGTAACCAGGTACTGCATTCGAAGAAGTTGCTACATTCGGCGACATTTCTAAATATGGGTGTTCGTTTCATATAGATGATATGGGTGTCCGTTTCGTATAGATGATATGGGTGTTTGTTTCATATAGAGTAAACATCTATTTATAATAAAAATGAATTAACAAGGACTTGAAAAGTGTAGTGGAATCTATGTGTACTATAGTGACTTATCATGTCAAACAGTCATTTCTGTTGTCACACCCCCGAACCAGACGGCGGAAACGTTCGAGGGATCGCGTGACTTAAAT